CTCAAAGCGAAAACCAATCAGTTGGGAAAAGTTTCTAAAACGTTGCTTGGTTTAAACAGAAAAGCCCATACAGTCAAGGGAACGAATTACACAGTACTTAGATCACTTCAGAAATACAACAGTGGACAGTCTTGTTTATAACTTAATATATAGATATATATATAGTTTTGAATTGAAATTCAAATTTTTATTATGGGTAAATTACAGAGCTGATGCTTATTGAATCCCATAGGGTCTGCACACACTGGGTTCGGTTGGTAGTACAATTGAATAGCATATTCTGACGTTCACTCACGGGTACGGGAAAGTTGGGTGGTTCAATGCTTCATCCAGTCGTGACTTGAATGAATCGATGATTGGTGCACAAACAAGTTGAGGTGGAAGAGAGTTCCAGGTGTTACAAACTCTGAGGCTGAAAGAATGACGCCTGCAGTGGAGCCGGCTCTTTTGGAGCAGAAGTTTAAACGGATGTCCTCGGAGGTGACCATTCCTGGATAGCGTCACTAGAGTACCACACGGGTGGTTAGGTTGATGTAGTATTTGATAAACGAGGATCATGTCTCCCCTTATTTGACGGTATTCAGACGAATAGAGTCCGGGAATTCGCAGTCTTTCATCGTAGGCCTTAGATTGTAACCCTTTGACCATTTTGGTTACTGTTCTCTGCGGACGTGCCTTTTGGTGGTGAATCAGCCATGGATTTCAAGCATGTATAGCATACTCAGTGTGTGGTCTAATGTATGTTGATAATAAACGGGGCAATAAGTCTGTTTCGAATGATCCAAAAATACGTTTTAGTAATCCAATGTGTTTTATAGCCTTTAAAGACGCTCTTGCGCAATGTGTGGAACATCCTAGATCCTCACGAACAATAACTCTCAGGTTCTTTTCGTTTAGAGAACGCGGCAATCGCTGAGTTCCAAGTATGCACGAAAAGCGACCCCTGTGGCGCAGCGATAGAATCTTGCATTTCTCAACGTTGAATTCGATGTCATTAATGATGGACCATCGATAAGCTGCGTCAAGAGTTTCCTGCAAGGTTTCATAATCTTCAGGATATTTTACCGTCCTCCATGTTTTCGCATCAGCGGCGAATAATAATGCCTTTTCTCCAAGGTCGTTTATGAATGCTAGGAAAAAGTACGGACCGAGTACGGATCCTTGTGGAACTCTACGGACAGCCTCAATCAGTCCAGACAGAGAACCACTAACTCGAACCGATACGGTACGTTGTCGAAGAAATTCCTTATTCCAGTCCAGAAGCAGTCCTCGGACACCGTAATTATGGAGCTTTCGCAGTAGTATGTGGTGGTTAACCCTGTCAAAAGCTTTGAAGTAGTCTAATTAAACTACGTCTGCTGCCTCTCCTGCGTCGACTGATATTGTCCATTCATCTCGTGCAAGTAGCAGGTTTGTGGTGTACGAGCGTTTCCTTCGAAATACGTGTTGGGCCGGCGAAAGTATGTTATGCTTCTCGAAATGATCCATCAACGAATCAGCAACAATCGATTCCATTACTTTTACAGAACAGGAAGAACAACAACTGGAGGAGAATTATTTCATGAGTCAGATGGTTGTATCTTCTGTAAGGAAGATCAGCGTTTGTCAATAAGTAGTATCTGGACGTCGATATGGAAATTCTTTGGAAACACGACCCAGTATGTAGTTTTACCAATCATGTGGAGTGCGCATTCAGCATAAGTTTGCCAATTCGGTCGTACAGTTATATCCAAAGGACTGGCTTTCACAGTCCATGCCTGAGGTATTGCTTTATTTAATAAGATTGGTTGATTGTGACGTTCGGATTGAAAAGACGAGAATTGCGGAAGATTACGGGGTAAAAGTTCAATTCTCGTGGTCTACATGAGTTACTCGTTTAGTTTAGATGGGATTCACAGGATCGGGAAGATTCCGAGCAGTTGTGCCAGTTCGTTCGCACGTAAAACAAAATAACTGCCCACACTGCTTTTGACAAAGAGATAAATTGCGTGGGAGAATCGTTATCAAACTCGAATCGTTATTATTACAAAGCTGAGGCTTCTTGAATTCCACAGAATCTGTACATGGTGGGTTCGGATGGTAGTACAGTTAACTAGTAAAATATTATGTTCATCCACGGATGCTAAACAGTTAGGTGTTTTAATGCTTCATCTAGTCGTGACTTGAATGACTCGGTGGTTGGAGCATAAAAACCTTGAGGTGGAAGAGAGTTCCAGGAATTACAGAATCTGAGGCCGAAAGAGTGAGTGATGTCTGTAAACAGCGAACGGTAGAGTAGATGTTATTCAGGCATGCGTAGGACTTCCCTCAACTGGCTCAGACGGTGCGGTGAAATTGTTTTGTTGGTAGCGATTAGTGAAGTTCACGCTGTACAATGACGATGATGATGTGTTTTGTTCAGGGGAAGATTATCTGACCCTAGCACATGTTGTCTGACCTCATTGTTACTCACGAGATACCTCCATCATACGCGGGCGATGTTACGCAGAGAACGGTTGTCGAAGGATATGTGTTGGACATGATCTGCTTAGAGAGGCCAAGTTTCGCAGCTGTATATAAACACGGTGCGCACTATTGCATAATACGCATGTCCTTTCTTAGTGAAAGGGGTATATCGCGCCGGTGCTAGAGGTGTCGCGGATTAGCAAATGCTAATCTTGTTTTGATTACACTTTGGGAGATCTCGACCACACCTTCGCCAGTCGTTATGCAGCTCACCGTACGATTCAACAACGGTTTCATTTGTATGAAATTTAGAAAAATATATTTTCGTAGCAAATCCGAAAATAATGGGCCCAAGAAGGTATGTGTATATGTATTTCAGTTACTGGAACGACTAACATAAACCCGGGTATCCCGAGCAGCGAGTTACATAGAAGCCCCAGTTGTTTAGGAGAAACACAGAGCTGGGACGGAGAGACCTGGTAGCGCGTTGGTGACAGCCGTCAACAATTGCTAAAGCGACGAGAACATGACCTGTGTCGACCAATCCACTCCAAATCGAAGAACGAGGTCGCTTACCAGCCAACACTCGCTTTAACCTTCTGTATGCCACACTGAATGGCGCAGTAGAAGTTTTGTTAGCCCATCAAAGCACGAATTACTCATTAGCCGCCTTTTCTGGGATGATTTAATGGTTTAGTGTTATCATATCGAGTGCATCGTCCAACTGGGTGCGCCTAAAATTTTTTGACACAATCAATTTAGTTACCACGGCGCTGATCTTGTACTTCTATTTTGGGTAGTCTTGGTCTATCTGTACCTTTCCGTCCAGTGGCATTTCACCAACCAAATATGCTATAGATGCACTGGCTTGTTGCACCTCAGCGACTGCGGGCTTCACACGAAAGTTTGTGTTTTAAGAAACAAATAGTCCTGAAAGCACCAGAACAGTACATACACAGCTGTTCAATGCAGTTATACCAATAGCGAATTATGCACGTACATTTTAAATGTCTAACGATATAAGAATTTTTCATGTAACCCTTTGCCACTTTCATGACAGTAAGAAGAAACATAATCACAGCGAATTCCTGGGAATCTCATCAGCTGCGTACATATATTCAGACCACGTTTAGTTGAAAGATTGACAGGTTTGAGGACTAGTAAACAGACGACCAAGAGAAATCAATCGATATGGGGAGAGGCTAAGTTTACAAAACTGAAGCGGCTTGGACACAGTTGCAGGGAGCGCGATCACTGCGAGGGGGAGCAATCACACCGACCAGGGCCGCGCGAACGCTGACCGCGAATTCAATCGGTTTGTACAGCTCAGGTTTCTAATGTCAAATGGCAGTTTCCTTGTCGAAGCATGGGATCGGAATAATGGGCTGATGGAAATTATCTTCGATCATATTCACCCACCGATTAAAATGAGGCAAAAAAACAAACAAATCCAGCATTGTACGATTGCAATCTGAGCATCGCTAAAATTCTACCTACGTCTGCTAAAGTGTAAACGACATAGAATAACCAACCGGGTCAACAACGCAACCTGCCAATGGCTACGACTATTCCAGTCGCAAGTGGAAAGACGGTAAACAGGCGAGCAGTACGAGCGTCTCATCCCCACAAATCCCGTTTTCCTCCGGGTTTCATTACCGTTTCTGTACCGAGTTCATTTGGGATTGATTTCCAGTTGATTCGTGACATAAGATATCATTGAGTAGATACCGTCTCCCAATAGACTGCGGTTTTCGAACACCACCTCGATGTCTAGAAGGTTTGTCTTTGATTAGCTCAAGGCTTCGGTTGTGAATCCCTCAGCTTTGGTTGGAGTAACCTGTCAATATTGCACTATCAAATAAACCATAAACTGATTTCTTTGTTACAAATATTATTCTAGCAAGACGCATAGACTAAGCTCAGGCAATTGTGAAACGTACTGCCTCTAATGCATCAAAGCAGACAGAAAAAGATCGGATTCCGAAGAGAGTAGCCGAAAATCGGGCAGTTAACAATTCAATAAAAAAAACCCGACCCATAGATTATATATATATATATATATATATATATATATATGTCGTCCTAGA